GGATATAGACAACTCATCGTGCAGCTAATGAGGCTGATCGCACTAAGGACCGAACTCAATTAAGGGAAAAACTACGCAATAAGAGAAACCCATCAAATGAGGCTGCACAACATGCTGATCCAACCAGCGATCACGGAGATCCTCAACGTAAAAACGACTGCTTCATCCACGACGAGGACTGGGAAGTGGCGCAAAGGAGCAGAAAAAAGAGAAGAAATAGGAATAGAAATAGTCGCGAAGAGCAGCCAAGACCCGGAAGTGCAAAAGCCGCACAAATAAAGAAAATTGAAGCATACATCGCCAAAAACAGTGAGAATCAGGGAAAACTAATCCTTATCGACCCGCCTGAAGGGGAAGCAGTCACAGATCTCCTAGAAAGGGTCAAAGAAGCGATAAACCCAAGAACCACGAAAATCAAGATTGTCGGAATCCGCAGCACAGCAAAAGGCGGAGTAGCAATAAGATATGCAAGCGGTCCTGAGCAACCCTAAATTGCAAGCACAAAATCTGCAACCACGAACAGTAGGCATGCGCAGTCCGCGGGCACTGATACTACGAGTACCTAAGGAACTAACGTCGGCGAATTTAAAAGAACAGTCATTGTCCAACAATGACTATGGCAGTGACTGGGGCCAAAAAGCAGTTCGACCGTTATACACGGTAAGGTATGGCAGAGCTCCTCGTGGGCAGAGCCCCTTTGTTTCCTGGGTAGTTGAAGTAATCCCGGAAAAATGGAAAAAGGTAATCAACCGAGGCAAAATATTCCTGGATTACCAGTCTTGCGCCGCAAAAGAGCATTTAGAGGTCACCAGGTGCTTCAATTGCCAAGCGTACGGGCACACAGCCCCGCACTGCCCACGTAAAGACCCAACATGTGCCAACTGCGCTAGAACCACAATACAAAGGATTGCCAAACGACGGATGTGCGGTGCATTAACTGTGCGCGAGCGGGAACAAAATATGATCACCGGGCGGGCACTGTGGAGTGTAAAATGCATCTGAGAGTGTTACAGAAGCTCTGCGCTATACTTTCCCTGCACGAAACATAGTGTACAATGGCTGATCGATCTCCACCTGAAATCTCCTTAGAGGCACTATCCCTAAGGCCTTCAACGTCGAGAGGTGCTGCGGCAGGTGGTTCGGATGCACGATCCACACCCTCAGGATCTACTCATGCAGACCGAGCACATCCTCCACAGGCTCCTCCTCAGTATGATTCAGCAGGGTTTGCGTCCATGACGCTTCCGGACAGAAAGGATTTCTTGAGAAATATAACGAGAGGGCTTGGTATGGATCGTCAGTTTCCCCACAATTACCTGGACAATGCTGTTGCCTTTAGGAAGCTCCTTCCTTCAACTCCTCTTTTCAAGGAATTTTCTCTGGCTGCAACCCAGATATGGCCGTTTGCAGGTGACAATACTGAGCAGTTTATGTACAGCTGTGCATATTTGTATGGTATAGGGCGCCTAATTCGAGAGAAAAATATCCAAACCGCTGAAACCCCCCTGGCAATGGCAGTGGCATGTGGTGAAATACTGGCTCCAGGTTTACCTGACCACTTATGGTTACCGCCTGAAGAGGCTAGAGCAAAGCTTGTTGCAACCGTCAAGGCGTTGGTGGGAAGCCCCCTCTTTGTGATGTTCACTTCTATAGGACACACGCAGAGATACAAGGAGGATCCTGAGCTATTGGGATCTCGTCGTGCTCCTGATACTATTCCTGTTCTAGGATCACCAGCGTGGTTGGATCTAAACCTAACCCCTAATGAAGCCATGACAATCCTAGTCGACTTGGGGACGCTAATCTTCACATCTTCTCCTGCCGGTCCACTTCGTATGCTCTTGAGCACAACCTTGGCCATCCTTAAAAAGGGTACGATGTCTGGTGAATTCTGTCGAAAAATGATCGATGGTATAAAAACTGATCTCGGTATAGATGTCACACTGGAAATCGAAGACGTCCGTCAAATCTATCAGGCGTATGGGCAATATACCAGTTCCAGAATTGTACAAAACCTCGTGAGAGACTGGTTGGAATGGACCCCTCCATCTGCACTACGAATCCGCCTTACTCTCCAACAATCAGCAGAAGAAGGGTTAACAGGTCTTACTACGGTGACCAAAACCATCACGACCTACCCTGACTTTCTGTGGGAGCAACTTGCATGTATTCCAGGGTATTCAGGAGAAATCAGAGAGTACTTAAGATGCAAACGCATCATAGGAGACGACAAGTACTATGGTTATAACCGTGACTTGAATGAAGTCAGTATGCGCCATTACAAAAATCTCGCCGGTGCCTCCAATTTTTGTGACGAGACCAAAATAAAAGATAATCAAAATAAAAACGGTACACTCTTTATTGATAAAAAAATAACAATTTGAATTGAACGAAAAATAAACTTTGATGTATGTGTCCAGAATAAAACAATAAAAATTAAAATTTACTTACAAAAAATAAAAAATCTTTCGAGAGGAATAAGAGGAAGGAAGATTCGTTTGAACACGCTCAGCCAATACCCGAACAACAACAACAACAATATCTTTCCTGTCCTTCCTCAACCTTAGGGTCTCCCCACTTGAACATATTATCGTCACAAGGGGTCAGAATGAGAGGCAAAAAAAAAAGGTAAGTAAATGAATAGAAATAAAAATAAAATTAAATTAAATGAAGACATAAATAAAACAATAGTCAAAATAAGAATTCGCCCCACCGCCACGCGCCACTTTTCCTTGAGCCTATATGGCTTCTTACAGCGCCCGAGCGGTCGGTGCAGTAGGACAGAGGAAAAGAAAAGAATAGAAAGGAAAGAAGGAAAAGAGAAGAAGTGGAAGAACAGAAGGAAAAGAAAGAAAGAAAAGAAATGATGAGAAATAAAAATGAACTTAAATAAAATGAAGACATAAATAAAACAATAGTCAAAGTAAGATTCGCCCCATCGCCACGTGCCACCCGGGTCACCGTTCCTTGAGCCTATATGGCTTCTTACAGCGTCCGAGCAGTCGGTGCAGTAGGACAGAGGAAAAGAAAAGAAGGGAAGGGAGAAGAAGCAGAGAAAAAAAATCCTGTTTAAATTCAGCTGGTAATTGCAAGGTTATTAGCCTTCCTCATTTTTCCTCATGGGTGCTTGTATTCTCTTGCCGGGTTCTTTCCGCGTCTTCATCATCCGCAACAGCAGGAAATTCGCTGGCCAACAGCGGGCTTCTATCCATGGGTTGTGTAGCACCCCCGAAGTCTGTCATGCTTCGCAGCTTAATTTTTGCTCTCAGATGCATTTTACACTCCACAGTGCCCGCCCGGTGATCATATTTTGTTCCCGCTCGCGCACAGTTAATGCACCGCACATCCGTCGTTTGGCAATCCTTTGTATTGTGGTTCTAGCGCAGTTGGCACATGTTGGGTCTTTACGTGGGCAGTGCGGGGCTGTGTGCCCGTACGCTTGGCAATTGAAGCACCTGGTGACCTCTAAATGCTCTTTTGCGGCGCAAGACTGGTAATCCAGGAATATTTTGCCTCGGTTGATTACCTTTTTCCATTTTTCCGGGATTACTTCAACTACCCAGGAAACAAAGGGGCTCTGCCCACGAGGAGCTCTGCCATACCTTACCGTGTATAACGGTCGAACTGCTTTTTGGCCCCAGTCACTGCCATAGTCATTGTTGGACAATGACTGTTCTTTTAAATTCGCCGACGTTAGTTCCTTAGGTACTCGTAGTATCAGTGCCCGCGGACTGCGCATGCCTACTGTTCGTGGTTGCAGATTTTGTGCTTGCAATTTAGGGTTGCTCAGGACCGCTTGCATATCTTATTGCTACTCCGCCTTTTGCTGTGCTGCGGATTCCGACAATCTTGATTTTCGTGGTTCTTGGGTTTATCGCTTCTTTGACCCTTTCTAGGAGATCTGTGACTGCTTCCCCTTCAGGCGGGTCGATAAGGATTCACAGAACCCAACCAAGCACCAACTTACTCTGCTGCACTTGGAAACCGCACAAAAAGACGGTGGTGGACAAAAAAAAAAAAAAAAAAAAAAAAAAAAATGCCCCTAACAAAAACATACCGACGCAAGAATTGACACAATTTGCGAGTGAGGATCTCTACGACGCTACGACCACAAACAAAATAGAAACTAAGATCACGATACTAACCATTATCTTGGTCCCAGGAAAACTGGATCGCAGTGCCATTCCGATCTGATCCCTCATGGTGGACACAGGAAGTGGCGGGCCTTCCAAAGAACCTCTGACCCAGAACTGAGAGAAGAGATGCAAAGAGGATAGTCTGTGGCAAAGAATACTTTCCAGCAGGAACTCCGGCAGCAAAAGGACGTCACAGAAAGGTTTCATGGACAAAAGTGATAATGCTGGGGGATTACACACCAAGAGTGCATTACAGAAAATAATTAATCGCCCAGTATTTCCTCCCTGAAGGCCAGATGTTACATAGCTGAGGTTAAACGGAAAACAGTTTCAACGGGTTTCAACGTCATCAATGTCATGAATGTGCTAAGCCAGCGAAGAGGAGCCGATAGAACTGATGGGATGCCCATACCAATGAGCTTTGTAGATATTGAACCAACTCCATTCGCAACACAAATCTACAGTGACTGCAATATTCCACACACGGGTGACAGTTGAAAAGTCACACCCCCATAAAGAAATAATTCAATGCAACCACTGCCAAAGAATATGGACATACAAAAATGTATTGCTACTCGATGTTTTAAGTGTGGGGGTAATCATAAGAGTTTAGACTGCAAAAAAAGCCCTGATGTCCCTGTGGAAGAGAAGGCCTCATACAACAGAACTCGCAGGAGAGGGCATTCTTCTTTTGTACTTCTTAAAGAAAGGGAACTCCTTTGAAATAAAACATAAGTGAAAACAAGTTCTTTTCATGTTTCCCAGTTCGATTCTTCTTCGAGGAATGCAGTCTTTTCATCTTCCTCATCAGAAGTGGGATTCGATGGTATCGAGAATGTGTGAAGTGTGATTGGAAGTCTACGACAGCAAGTCAGGAATGATTTTCGGAGTCGTCCTGACAACGACATCGTTAGCCTGTCTCACAAGGCCCGAGAAGATGACGAACAACTACAGGCATTGTTGCAGAAGATGACATTATCCAATGAATTTATACATTTACCTGAATTCAACTCGAACCTCAAGGACTCAATCCAAAAGCATGGATTAACACTTTTGAGAGTTGCCTAGGTTCACAGAAAACGAGCAGAAGCTCACTCCTTTTGATATTGAGCCGGGCACTGAAAGAAGAATGCCCGCTTCTGCGAGTTCTGGGGTTCGAGGCTCCATCCTTCTTCTCTTCCATAAGTCTTCGTGCACTCTAGGGAACTGCCTTTGAATTAGATTCTGCTGTGAAATATACTTCCATATAAATACATATATTTTTTTACTTTTTTTCTCGTTTTCTGATTTTTATTGTAAACCTTATTATACTGTGTTTCTTTCCCCTTTGTCCCAAGACCATACTACCCCTTGTACCTCTCCTAACAATTTTCCTGTATCTTGCTGTGGCTGCCTTACAACATTGGCTACTTTTTCATAACATAATTTTTAGTGCAATTCTAGTCTTGACAATTGGAAGACAAATTAAATTTAGGCAAACCAATCCCACGAAAAAATTTCAGAACAAAGGATATAAATGTTTTAATGAAAAATGTGAAAATATTAATGAATAAACCTAGAAGAAATCACTTTTAAAATGCTGAGTATGTACAGTCGTTCATATAAAAAATAATGACGTAGAAACAATTTGTCGTGCATGCTGATATTAAAAGTACTCAAATTTATGTACTTGCTTTAAAAAATAATTAAATTAAACTAATTTCACAAACTGTTTTGAAAGTATAAATTCTTTGGTTTTGAAAAACGCATGCAAGAAATACTTTATAATGCAGTATCCCCAGCTGTAGTGGTCAGCGTCATTTTAGAAAGTGACGACAAACTTCTTTTAGGGCTGTTACCCAAGAATGTCATGTTGGTCTCATTAAATAGTTTCCTGAACCTAAAAAAAAGTTAAACATTTTTTATTCATCTTTTAATATCAAGTTGTAAAATACGTGTAGCATTATTCAATAGTTCAATTTTAGCCCTCTTGTGTTTTGAAGATCATTTTTACGAGGGTTCAGAACAGCAGAGATCATATCAACCCTCATGGTGCCAGTGTTTTGGAAAAAAGCCCATTTTTAAGTATGTCGGGTTTGAATACAGGACTTCTGGATTCGGACCAGAGATCTTTACCTTACAGTGATGAGTGCTGTGTCAATGTGTTAACCATTGCAGCCACCGACGACCTCCCTAATGTTTATTTTCTGTTTAAAATTCTAACAAATGTGTTGTAAGAAGAAAAATAGAGCATTTTCATCTATTTTTATTACTGCAAAGGGAAAAATCGTAGTTCAGACTGTTAGGAAAATTTGTGATTTATATGGTGATGATGTTTGTGGAAAAAGCATTGTCATTGGCCTGGTTCAGAATCGGAAATTTTAACTTGGAAGACACAAAGTGCTCTGGTCTTCTTTCAACCGTTGATGATGACTAAATTCAAGCTTTTGTCAAAAATAAATCAGACGCTATGGCATGAAACATCACAGACACTTAACATGATCATCTAAGAGCTGTTGTTCTTAACAGATAGTTGTGCACCAGATAAAGGTTTCTCTGAGGCCTTTCTTTGTCCATATGTCAGCCCGGGGTGGCCTATCCACAGGCAAGTTTTCTTTTTTATCATTTTGTTTAATCTTGAGAGATCGTTAACTTGTTTAATTTTTTATTAATTATTAAATTAAACTGCTAAATAATATTAAAATGAAAATATAAATAATTAATTTTAAAGGAGATAAAAATCAAATACATTTTTCTAATGCCAGATTCCGATTTTCTCCAAGGAGCATCATTTGGTTCAAATGGCAATGGACCCTGAACTGGAGCATCATCATCATCATCATCATCATCGTCGTCGTCTTCCTCTATTTCAGTATTAATGGCATCTGACTTTCTGCAGAAAGACAACAATTAATATTAACAAAAATAGATAAAATAAAAAATAAAAAATTACAACCTGTATTTTTCAAGTTCTCTTTCAAGTTCACTAATTTTGGCTTGGTAATCATTCCTTTCCTTTAAAATTTCTTTTATCTCTTCGGTAGTATATCTAGGCCTATTAGGATCTTCATAATCACAAACATTTTTGGTTTTGATTTCCATTATATCAACCTGCCATATCAAATATTACTGTTAAATTCAGATTATTGAGATCCGTCGGATTTTGTCAGTCTGATGTCAGTACTCAGTCATTAAGTCCCACTGCTGAAGTAAGGCTCCAAGAGACGTCATTTCAGCCCCGAACGCATGCAGTTTTTTAAATCTAAACCCACTCTTAATCACGCTTGAATGCATTCTTTCCTATTTACATATTAGTAGTAGTAAGCTACCACTTACTCAATTGGGTTGGAAAAGTACCCAACATTCCTCCACAACCCATATACATTTATGCTAATAAATACATTCACTTTAAATAGACAAAACAAGATATCTACCAAGTACCACATACAACAAAACAACTTCCTTTATAGTTGAAAAAGTTTTCTTCAAGAATCAGAACAGGGGACTCCAATACTGTCATGTGCTTAAGCACAATTCTCATATTATGCATTCCTACAAACTCTCTATATGAAGTTAAGAAAAAATTTCAATTAAGTGAAGCATATCAACCTTTCCTCTACAGGCCAGACATATGCAAGCTTTGGCCCAAAAGTATTGGTGTGTTAACTGGATGGGCTATTCTTAATTGGGTGAGGATGATCCCTCTTCTACAATTCAGAATCTCTGAGCCCATCAACTGCTCTTGCTTAGTAGAAGTTTTTTTAAATATTTTTTATTGAATTTCCTGCATCAGAGGGCTGGATCACAATTGCCAAGTCCAAAGATGTTCTACAGAGCATAACAAGAGGATTCACAGCAGTCTCAGACAGCAAAATTCAAATTATAAAGAGTAGAAATATGCTATACCTCCGTCAACCACAAATTTATTTTTGTAAATCTTTTCAGGTCCAAATGGCATTAGTGTAGAACTTCCAAATTGTTCATACATATAAACAAATTTAAACATTACGAATGTTTTATTATGATACTTACATTTGATTGTGCTAGATCTTCTTTTTCTTTTTCAGCAATTCCCAAGCGCTGGCGCAATATACTAGTTTCATACTGTTGGTCTTGTAGTTGGGTTAATATATCGGCCCTTTCCTCAATCAGCCTATTCGCTTGGGCCTGACTAGTTCTAATTTTTTTACGTAGCTCTTTGTTTATTGTTGAGAGCCTATCTACTTGATCTAATAGCTAAAAAGAAAAAGTTTAAAAATTGTAAAGAATTTTCTAATTGCACTGAACAGTTCTTGCTAAAACAAAATAATTTGTCAGGAAAATTAACAGAAGGTTAAGAAAATTAAGGAGAAGTCTTAGACACTATACGACATACAGCCAAGGCTAGAAAAACTGGGTCACAAAAACCCGTAGGTATATGTATTGTAAATGGTTTTATACAAATCCTCAAAAAGGGGTTCCATACTTAAATGGTATAAGACTGAAGAGCCTCCAGCCATCTGACTTTCCTTCCGAGATACAGTTAGCGTGTGGAAAATCTTAGACAGGCTCCAACTATCTTCCAAGCTAAGATCCATGCAATCGACTCTGTGCATAGGAGTTGGTAAGAAGAAAATGAAAGGATCTACACACTTTCAGACAGTCAGGGAGCTATAAAGACTCTAACTGGAAAAACTAGTCTTGGAGTACCTAAATTGCCTGATGGTCCTAGGAAAGCTCAACAAGGTATTAGAAGGAAAGAAATTGGAAAAACTTAAGCAATGGATGAAAGCACCAGGTTTTATAAGGCCAGCTAAGAAATTCAAAATCTCTCACAAAACAAAAGGCGAAATAAATCCTCTATCTTTCAGCAAGTACATTTGAGAAAAATTATAGACTTCTATATCAGCCACTCTTAATTACCACATAAAGAAAATGGGCTAAGCTGAGTCAACTCAGTCAAGAGAAATCAGACATCAGCATGTATCCTTTCTGGATGTCAAGCATTAGCCCCGTATACAGTATAGCCGCTTCAGTAAGACAATTTTCAAAACAAAAAAAAAGTGCGCAAAGAGGCATCTAGAAAAGTGTTTAGTTTTGCGGGAAAAATCATAGAATGGTCTAATTCAGAGTAGAATCATAAGTGGATAAAAAGTAGGAAACAAACAAAAAACAAAAGGTTTACTCACACTATCAACTTCGGATGCTTTGGCATTAACCTCACGTTCTTTCATTTTCAATTGCTCGCGCAATTTTTCATTAGATGCTATAGACTTTTGTAATACAGCAATGTCAAGTTCAGGGCTTAAAGGATGTGCTGAAAAAAAAGACAATGTAGTCTATTATTTAATTTATAAAAAATTGTATTCATATAAGAATGGCATTAGATTTCATGTTAAGCACTATACTGGGTGTTGAACCTGCAGTTTAGTCTTTTTCAACATCCTGGTCTATCCTGGTTTATGTATCTTCACTGGGTACCTTTTTTTTTAAATTAGTTTAAACATGCACAATTAATTACTATATATGTAAGTCCTAATTTACTTGATACACTTTGGAAAAGAAACAGAAACCAGAATATTATTACGAAAACATCCAAGTTTTGGAAATTGGATATCTTACAATTATTTACAGAAGGGCTGTCTTGTTTCTCTGCAAGTGATTTTATAAGCTTTCTGTTCTCTTCCTGAAGCCTGTTAATAATTTGAACCATTTCGTGCGATTCTTCCCTCCAGTGTTCTTCAATTTGTTCCAATTCCTTTGAAATACAAAAAAATTTTGTTATTACTTAGAAGTTAACATATAATTGCAGCAGTACACAAACTTATTAAATATTTCCATACAAATCAGCCTGGAACCTGGGTCAGCGCCAGAGTCAGAGTCAGTCAGAACCTGAGTCAATATCAGTTGGGATGAAGACAGATGCAGAAACTGAGAGACAATGACATTCAGTGTCAGTTGAGATGCAATCGGATTCAGTTTGAACCTGAGCCACTGTCAGTTGACATGGAGTCAGAGATAGTCAGAACATGTATCAGTGTGAGTTGAGATGAAGTCAGATTTAGGGTCTGAGTCACTCAGAACATGGGTAGTGTCAGCTGGGATGGTTTCAGATTCAGAGTAAGTGTCAGTTGAGATGGAGTCAGATTCAGAGTCAGTCAGATCCTGAGCCAATGTCGGTAGAGATGTAGTCAGATTTATAGTCAGTCAGTCATAACTGAGTCAGTTTCGATTAGATGGAGTCAAGTCAGTCAGAACCTTAGTCAGTGTCAGACCCTTCTCTTCATTCCACCCTCACAAAAAAGCACAAACTTGTGAAGGGAGATGACCGACCTAACTTGGGAAAGGAAAATGGAGTGAAAAGTGACTAAGCTGAGTCAACTCAGTCAAGAGAAATCAGACATCAGCATGTATCCTTTCTGGATAGATCAGCACTAGCCCCGTATACAGTATAGCCGCTTCAGTAAGACAATTTTCAAAACAAAAAAAAAAGTGCGCAAAGAGGCATCTAGAAAAGTGTTTAGTTTTGCGGGAAAAATCATAATGGACTCCATTCTACAGTGGTACTGCAGAGCAATTAGAACAAGAGACATATGCTGTAGTTCCTTGTCACCTTGTCAGGGCACATGCGCTGATTGATACCCCCTCAATCGAAAGTTAGCCTCAGAGGGATGCAAGTCTCCTGGAGAAGTATGACCAAATTTCACCATTATAAGTAGAATATACAAGTGACTTCAGACCCAGATGCAATCTCTAGAAAAACACTTCGGCAAAACCTTAGGGAGGGCAGGGATGACGCTGGGAATGATACTCGAGCTGGGCAATCGGCCTACTCTGCCCTGGGCCCTCCTGGCCATACTCATCCGGGAAAATCTCCCTGTGTTAGCTAAGTCATCTACCCCGATTTTGTGCTATGTATTGTAAGGGTGTGTTCACTTGGTGGTTGCTCCCGCCGCACTGTAGCATTTACACGGCAGAATTGTATGCGATTTGGCGCGCCCTTGTGGTGATTGGAGACAATGTGTTCTGCCTACCTAGGCTGCACAAACTCCCTCAGCAAGGTTACTGCTGTTCATGACAGGTTTTCCATCGACCCTCTCCTACTGCTGTTGTTGGAGAGAAAACATGAACTGTTGTTTCTCAACAAGCCAGTGGTTGTTGTCTGAGTACCAGGACACATAGGTCTAGAGGATAAAGGGAGGGAAAGCTAAGGCCAGGATGTCCCAACCTCCAGAGTTAACCCCAGCGATCCAGCCCTCTGACACTAAGAATGCAATAAATACATCAATGGGCTGGATTCTTGGAGGAAACGGGGTTATTCTATATGCCTAAATGCCTATGCCTAACCTGTGTCGAGAATGAACATACTTATTAGCATAAATGTGTGATATAAGAGGGTTGATGGTGTAATATCAAGTACCCCATTGACCCTCAATTAGGTTAATTGTATAATATGCGTAAAGGGTGGTGGAATATCGAGTACTCCACCACCCTAATTGAATGAATGGTAGTAAATAGGAGTTAATGTATTTAATAATGAACATGAGTACAAATGGGTTTGAACTGCATACAATGGGTGCTGAATTGACCTAGCTGTTGACAGCACCCCCCCCCAACCGAAACAACATCGGTGACTGGACGGATAAAACTTTCTCTCTCTCACTCTCTCCCTCCCTCTCTTCCTCACTCCTTCTCTCTCTCTGTCATTCTTACTAACAAAAAACTGATAGTATGCATGTCTTCTAATAGACTTAGTTTTGTGTATGTGATATTAATAAATTGTTGCGTTGTAATTTATTTTGTACTTATGTATTTTTTAACACCTCTGTAATCCGAATTTTTCTTCTTCTATCAATGAGAGAGCCACTATATTTGCATTTATTCTCTAAATGCAGAAAAACGCATAGAGCAATGCCAAATACCTTTTTATCTGAGATGAGATCTAATTATGGAGGGGAAAACAAAAAGTCCTTTGCTAATAAGTGTACAGATTGTTAGCAGAAAAAAGAAAAGTTGGCTAACGTTTTCGTTAAACATAGGTTAAACCTCGGTATGAAAAAAATATTTTCAAATGTTAAATGCTAAAGCCTTGAAAGGTCACAAAAGGTGTACCAGGTCATCCATCCACTTTGTTGCGACCGATCGACATCGAATTATCCCGTAGAATCTTTGATAAACAATGACTAATGCCAATGATAATAATGAAAATGCCTTTATTGATTATTCTCTTCTAAATACTCTACTTAAATACAGAACTACTTTCACAATTTTTTTAGACCAAATATTCAAAGAGTATGAAAACAATCCGGTATGTTACTAGGCGTTTAATGTCAATATAACTGCAGAAAATCTATACCATAGTTGTCCATAAATTTTACCTATATTTCAGGTACTTCCTGAAAAAATAATCTACCCTTGACAGAGAAAAAACAACGGTAATCAGACGAAGCAACAAAGATGAAAGCAGGGTAATGGAAGATACAAACTTATATTTTTACTATCTTTATATTATTCCCACACTTCTTTGACCATTTTAAAACTATAAAATCAACAGACGAGAAGAAAATAGTATAACTGAAAAGAACTAAACAAAATATTAAATTCATAATAAACAGATGAATATCAAATACCTATAACCAACAGCTAACAGGTAAAACCATCAGTTCACTGAATTCACACTTTCACTCTGATGAAGGTTCAATTTTTATGAGGCTTATTTTTGTTAAGAAATAAACGAGAAAAGTCTGATTTAATGCAACTTAGACAGGAGAAGATCGTAGTCAAATTTCACAATGTCAGGATTTTAATATGGGCTTTGAGAGACGCAAACTTTGCGAATGCTGTCTAATGAGAACTGCAAGCATGTGCAAAAAATGTATTTTGTGTTTAAAACTGCTTTACACTCCATAAAGCTCGATACAGTTAAAAAAATCTATCTTCCTTTGTATAGACTTGTGGAAGCAAAAGTTTATTTTAAAAAAAAAAACCTTCACCAATAAAAAAGTCTTTTTCTTCCAAAAAGATACTAAAATCCAAAGTTATGTATTTTTCATTTGTTGTTCAGTGGTGGCAATTTCAAATCCTAGAATAATGTAACCTATCTTCTACAGTGATAATTACACCCAGATTATGCCCTTTACTTTTTGCATTTTTTGTAAAGGATGGTTCTCCCCCTCCCCCACACACATCGTTATTATTTCTGGTATGTCCTTTATTCTACCTTAAAGGTAGTAATATTTCATCTAAGAATTTGAGTTGATATACGCTTTCTATACACAAAAATACCGCTATATACAATTTTTTGGGGAAAAAAATACTTAAAATTTTCACTTTACTAATGCCTTTGATTTTTTCGATAATCACCAAAAGCATTTCGATTTGCTTTGATCACCAAAGCATTAAGACTCCACTGATTTGCAGGAATTTTACAGTAGTATACAACCCTGTAAACTATATGTAATCACATAAAGTTTGTCTCCGTTGAGAGATAATGATTTTTGTTTTATTTACACAGACATCACTCAAAATTTGANACGAGAGAGAGAGAGAGAGAGAGAGAGAGAGAGAGAGAGAGAGAGAGAGTGTGTGTGAATGAGTGAGTTAGTGAGTGACAGTGAGAGAGAGGGTAAGCGAGAGAAAGACTAAGAGGGTGAAAGTGAGTGAAGGACAGAAATGAATGAATGAATGGGTGAGTGAGTGATTGAGAAAAAGTAAATGTGTGAGTCAATTGTAAAAGAAAAGTTTATTTAGCATCTAGCCATAATACAATAGCATGGGATTGGTAGATTTGAAATACATCATTTATGAGCGAGTGATGTAGCAAAGAAGGCAAATATTTTTTTTTTCTTTTTAGCAAGAAGCAAAGTTGATATTCGCTGCACCCCAATAAACCCCTGAATACAAATTTTGAGGGGGAAAATTTGTTGTTGTCTTGTTACAAAAAATTTGTATTCGCAGTCCTCAATGGCTCTATTTTTTTTCTCTCAAAAATCACAATATTAGCAATAATTCATGAAACACCTACACTGAACTACAGGGGTTTGGAACTGTATAAACTATAAAATAAAACGTTTAAGGAATTCTAGTTTATTTATTTCTTACTTTTTTCACTTGTAAAGACATAAAAGCCAAACTCCATTGACATAGGCTGAAAGAAGAGAAATTCAGCTTTTCAACGATTGTTATAACCCATTATACTTAGTGGATTGATTGACCAAATTACTTCTTTCAATTAAATTAATATTTTTATTCAGTAAAGTCTTGGTTGAAATGAAATATCTAGTGTCACGAGCGGGATTCGAACCCTCGACCTTCGGCTCGAAAATTCAAAAGATAGTTATAATGTTGGATAAAATCTAAAGGAGTTATTCATTTTTAAATGGAACAACGGAAATCAGCGAGAATAAATAGTGTATCCGGCTAATCGAGCCCCACCCAAAACGTCTATTTTTTGTTTGATATAAAAATTCGTATTTATGGGCTTTGAAGAGTGCATAAAATGAAACCGAATCTTTTTTTAATTTGTTTGGCCTACTTTATTGAAAGCGCCTTTCCGTTTTTGGAACTTATTTAGTATCATTAAGTACAATCCTGCAAATTATTTCCTTATCCTACATTTAAAAAAATAGACTGATATATAATAATAGCCTTAAGTGGTAATTCAACAGACAATGGTTCTTATCAATTGGCCTTATTTTAGGCTTCGAAGCGTTTGTCTTCAGGCAAGACTAGAGTAGATCTAATCTTGGTCTTTTAAGGGGTTAATTTAACAAACAAAACTAGAGCAAGAGAATTTGAATTTTAAAACCTTAAATATCAAAATGAATTTTATGAGTATTTGATAGGATATGCTAGATAGACAAAGTGAGAAAAGTTTACTTACCCCGAAAGGAATTGGTTCTGCCGGTTGAAAGGAAGACGCACAAATGGCCCAGAGGCGACAGTGCTTCGTTTGTGGTGGTAAATCCAACAGATTTTTCAATAAACTACTACAACTACTAAATTTATACCTCGAATTTCCTCTTGGGTAGTTTACCCCCTGCGGGACAAATTTGTATGAGAATGGTTTTAAGAAGAGGGAAACGTACTTAATCCTAAAATTGCAGGGGCAATGCTTACTCGCCCAATTTCAGCATGGTAGAGGCACAGGGATTGCCAACACGCAAATAGCATTCATTTTGAAAATGAAATAAAGCATTTGTAAAGAAAACCACTATAAATCCCAAAAAAATAAGTGATACGGTTACAACAATGTTCGAATAAAATGGAACAGGGAGCGGAAGCAGGGATTAAAGACCACCGTGTTGATCTTGCGAAACTCTAGGTCCCACATCAATTTTCCAAGGTCACATCGATCCATGCAATAGAACACGAGAATATTTTAAAAAAATGATATTAGAGAATAAACATATTCTCAGACAACCTTCAAATGAAAGGTGTAATTGGATCAAGTACGATGTGGGTGGAATGAACAGGCTGACAAAATAACAAAACCAGGAGAAGACTTCAAACCCGTTGGACCCCGACCGCAATTGACACGATAGAAAACATGCCGAAAACATAAATGAACAAATGGATGGAGAAAGAAATGACGCACCAGATGAATTCACCAGGTGCGAAACAACCAAAAAAGTTTCTCAACATCACGGCCAGGAAAACAAAAATCTACCTTTCTCTCAACATTCAGGAATTTAAGGCTAATAATAGACCTTTATACTGGCCATCGATCATTTAATTACCACCTTAAAATTGGAGGAAACTGAGGCAGAAACGACAACGTTCCCTTGTAGGACGCCGTCTTGTATTGAACTAATAACTTGCTGAAAGAAAAACTATTTTGTTTTGCTATTGTCCTTGATGTTATATAGACTTACGACAAGGTATGGGATGAAGTACTTATCAGTAAACTAAGAGGGATGTCACTAAATGTATGTAGAATTACACCTTACTTAACTGACATTTTAGAGCCAAACAATAAGATCTATTTATGTAAGGTTTTGGTTGAAATGAAAAAGTTAGTGTCACGAGTGGGATTCGAACCCACGACCTTCGGCTAAATACGCCGCTGCTCTAACCATTTGAGCTATCGTGACTTTGATCAAATCGGACACCAACCCCCATTACAACCTACAACCTTTCAAATCCCGCTCGTGACAATAACTTTTTCATTTCAACCAAAACCTTACATAAAAAGGTTAATTAATTGAAAGAAGTAATTTGGTCAATAGACCACGAAATATAATGGAATTAATAAGATGTATATTCAGAACTAAGAAAAGTAAATGCGGGAATGCCCCAAGGGAGCATACTAGGTCCAATACTTTACTTGCTATACACCAATGATTTATGGAAAATTAATGTCGTAAAAATTGCTACGTTCTTCCAACAAAATCAGTGGACAAAAATAGAGAATCAAGGTCTCTCAGGTCAAATCGGTATATAAAACTATCACAGGGACCATATTTCATCTAGGTATGACCTTAGATGCCAAGCTGAGCTGGGCAAAGCACGTGAAAAAGTACATAAGAGGGCTTTTTCGGTAATTGCTTGTTTACGTACAGTGGAGTGCAAAACATCAACATGTGCATCCAAAGGAAACCACCACAAGAAGTCAAAATGAACATAAAACTCGAAGTCAATTAGAAATAAAAATTATTGTACAATGTTGATTCTGTTGGTCTTTAACTATTCAGTCACTAGTGAAAATTTTGTCAGATTCTGACAGAGATCTTACAAATGGGAAATCCCTAGTTAAAAAATAAAAAAATTTCTGTCACGTTTAATATTTCTAATCTTAGTTCGAACGCATGTCAAACATGTTCTGAGAAGTAAATTTAAATACGGTTGGTTTTATCTTTTGTACTTTATTTTCGTTTACGTTGAACTGATCGAAACACTAGCCAAAAGGAGCCAACCTACGTAAAAATCAACACAATCCACTGATGATGACGAGAACCAGATGTTTATAGTGACTCAACTAACAGGAAAAAACCATATTAGCCAGCGTCAGGATTATAAGCAGGGAGTTGCAAGACGCCAACACATATTTCCCCGAATTTTGTCTAAATCTAACGGGAACTAAATTCAAGAGTTAAGTCTTCAAGCCTTCTTCACACTATAAATGTGATAGTAATAATCATAAATTCGACAAATATATAAAATGTTTGTAATTTACAACTACAAAAAAGAGAAAAGTAATGTCAAAATCAACAGGGCGAACAAATCGGACTTGTTGATGCGGTTAGACACAATAAGCCCCCAGAGAAAAGGGAAGATCCAATAGATTCAATTTATAATCCCTTTGACAATTGCGCAATTTTAAATATAATCTACATAAAAGTGACAAGGAAATAATTCAATTCAAAAGCACTAATAAATAGGTAGAATAGAAAAAATCTTAAAAATTAAGTTTTTATCCTTTTCTACAATACTACATTCAAAGTTTTGTCATAATTTCCACCATAGCCCTCCTACAATGAAAATTTGCATGGAAGGTACAGGTTGTGCCAGTTCAAATTGCTCCACCTCGTAACTTCCATGCAAATTTGAATTGGGGGGGGATGGTGAAAATTATAACAACACTTCAAAAGAAAAATACAAAATTGAATAAAAACTCAATTTCAAAAAGTAAAAAATAGCATAAAAAGATTCTTGTGATGCAATGCCATTAAAAAAAAAACATACCAAACAAAATTGTATGGAAAATGTCATTTATTAAAATTCTGTTGTATTTAGTAGGTTTTTGTTTTAAAGTTAGTTTTCAATGTTTTAATTTGTTTATAACATGCACAAATATTTAACGTACATGCAAAACCTGGAAAAAAAAATATCTCCAGAATTTTGTATTGTTTACCATTTGCAATCAACTTTTTATCCCTTTTTATAATTTTCTTTCCAAGTTTTGTCAGAATTTTTCACCATAGCCTAAATTCAAATTTGCTTGGAAGGTAAAGGTTATCCAATTTGAAATTTTCGAAAACAGGTCATTCCACCATCGTATATTAAAATATTTGTTTATGTTTAAACAAGTAAAACATTGAAAACTAAGCAATAATACATTAAAACCAAGACCTACTTAATACCTCATCCTAATCAATTCCATTTTCCATGCAATTTTGTCTAGTGAGTTTTCTTCATTGATGACATTATATCACAAGAATCTATACTATTGATTACTTTTTTTGAATTAAACTGTTTTCTTTATTTTGTAATTTTCCTTTCAAGTTTTGTCAGAATTTTTCACCATAGCCCCCCCCAAATTCAAATTTGGTTGGAAGGTAAAGGTTATCCAATTTGAAATTTTTAAAAACAGGTCATTCCACCAATGTATATTAAAATATTTATTTATGTTTAAACAAGTAAAACAGTGAAAACTAAGCAATAATACATTAAAACCAAAACCTACTTAATACCTCATCCTAATCAATTCCATTTTCCATGCAATTTTGTCTAGTGAGTTTTCTTCATTGATGACATTGTATCACAAGAAGAATATTGATTACTTTTTGAATTAAATTGTTTTCTTTGTTTTGTAATTTTCCTTTAGAATTGTTCACCATAGCCCTACCCTAAAGTCAAATTTGCATGGAAGGTGCAGGTTGTGCAATTTCAATTTTCACAGTTCTTTCCACCAATGCATATTAACTGTTTATTTATGATGGAAAACAAATATTAGGCTTATTTTGAACGAATTGGGTGATATGTATCAACAGGGCGGAACGATACAAATCGTGATGTCATATGTCGGTGGCATATGGTACCGGTTTGGTACAAAAATTCTTGTTATATGTCAAAATCGAGTACCTTTTCGAAACGTTGACGTTCTGCCGCTTTTTCTAATTTGTCCCTCTCCAGCCTGGCGACCACGCTGTCTCTGTCCTGTATTATTTTTTTAAGATTGACGATTTTCACCGTCTGGTCCTCGAGCCTCTCCAACATGGTGACTACCTTGCCCATGATGTTGTTGATCGGATCTGCCCCGTACATGTCAATAATGGGGCGGAATTCTTTGGCGAAGTCGGTGACGATGTCGTAGACGTCCATAACTGAGATTTCGTCGTAATCATCCATTTTGTCACGACTGTCCCAAGCCATGAAACGAAACCCGGCGCCCGACGAGCGGTAAAGGGAAAATAAACCTTCGCGGACCGTCGGGAGAAAGGTTGATAATCAGTTAACTGACGAGAGAAGCCCTTAACACTATATCCGTAGGGCTAGACCGGCTCGACGAGTATAACTACACACGACTCAATACCTGCTTCGCCCCCTTCATCGATTCTCGTCCCTCCCCTCGCAAAAGGGCGCAGACAGTCAACCACCAGCCGACTATAACCTTTCTCTATCAGAATCAGTCATGAAAGAACTGACAAAGTCGATCGTTCATTCATCAAATCAGACAAAATTATCTCGTTATTTACCAAACATATAAATCCGACTTTATTTCAGTTTAATCACGGTAAGTAATTTTTAAAAAAACGTCGTTGCAGTTAACAGGTGAAACGATTCATGAACTAGAACGAACGGAATCGGATCCTGCCTGAATTGGTCTTCGTTCTAGTGAACAGTCCATCTCTTATCGCGCCGTTTCACCTAGTCATCAGTAATTCATGCGCTTCTTCCAAAAGGCATTTTTTATTTTATTTTTTCATTCTTTCTTCGCATAAGAATTTTCTTCTAAGATGCAGTCTGGTGTGATGTAGGTTTCAGAAAAACATTTTCTTTATCGTGCCAACGTTTCGATCTTTATTGAGATCATCTTCAGGGCCTGGGATTTATAAACATTGTTTTCATTTAACAAATACATGTAGGATGTGGAAAAAAGTGAATTTATGCAATGCTAATCTTTTTTAAAAATTCAATCAAAGTATTTCTACTACTACGCAGAAAACAAACACTTTGAGTGAGTAGAAATACTTTGATTGAATATAAAAAATATTTTTTTGCATTGTATAAATTCACTTTTTTCCACATCCTACATGTATTTGTTAAATTTAAACAATGTTTGTAAATCCCAGGCCCTGAAGATGATCTCAATAAAGATCGAAACGTTCGCACACCTACATCACACCAGACCGCATCTCACAATTTCCGAATAATCATCGATTAACGGTCATTAATCACCACACATTTTCTTCTAATATAAAATAATGGAAAAGTCCTCTCTTATTTCTTCAGAAAAATCGACTTTTATCTAAACTAATTAAATGTAAAGTGAACACGAGCTATCGTGACAAGTTGTTAGAGCAGCGGCGTATTGAGTCGTGGGTTAGAATCCCGCTCGTGACACTAACTTTTTCATCTCAACCAAGACCTTACATACGATGAATAATTAATTGAAATAATTAACATGGTCAATTAGACCACTAAACATAAATGGATTTTATCTAAACTTTAATACTGCGATATAAATTGCACAAAAGTGCATAGAGATATTTGTAATTTCTTCGTATTCTATTAATTTTCATTAAATTAACCGATATATTCTTGTTAGTTGGATAAAACAAAATAGACAGTGCAAACCAAAAACAAAAAAATTGTTAATCCTCAATTTTAATACTAATATAATTATAATTTCTCAGAGCGTGGTCTCCCTGGGCTTTAGCACGATTCCGAGAAACTTGAAGTGCCAATAGTAGTGGTATTGGAGTAGTGGTATCCTGGTAGTGGATCTCAGCGCATTACGACGGTAAGGGAGGATAGAAATACTGTCATTGCTGCCCTTTCCAGAATGCCCATCAGATCCTAAATGAAGTACAAGATGTTTTGGCAAGGCCTTTATCAATACAAACGATTCGTAACCGTTGGCCTCACATCGTTTGCCCTTTTGCAGCAACAGCCCGCCACCACAACTCAGGAGAAAATGGTGCGTTATGTTTACTGATGCGTCTCTTTTCTGTCTGTATAGTGCATAAGAAACGAACTCACTCATCTCGAATCATTTGTGTTGATAACTTTTACTAATTCCATGAGCTTTATTTTTAGATAAGTGCTCTCCCATGTTTACTATATACAAAAAAACAGCTAGGGCCTCAAGATTTAACTTTGAAGCATCACCTTGATCACTCTATTTTTTAAAAAGATTTGTCCTTCTCTGTATAATTGAAAGATGCCAAATCGTATAAATTATACTAGCTCCATGAGCTTTATTTTTAGAGGTGTACTCCCCAATGTCCGCAATATACCAAGAAAACAGCAGTGGAGTCAAGATTTCAACTGGAAGAATCCCCTCGATCACTGGAATTTCTTTAGATTTGTTGTTTCTCATACAATTTCTATCGAAGTTTCTCTTGAGAAATTTTGTAGAATGCTCTCTTAAATTTGTTAAATACTGCCATCCATGGTCTGATGATGAGCGATCTACAAATACTCAAGTGGTTTGGCTAACATTTCTAGAAAAGACCCCAACTGCTTCAAAACTTCGCGTTCCAGCTCATTCAATTTACGCACTTTATGTCAAAGTGGTGCAATATTTAATAAGGCAACCAGAGGTTTTTTAATTAAGAAGCTTGACTTGAATCATTTTATTCTTTTGAGTGAGTATCGGGGGTTCCATGTCTTTTGTCGATGTAAAGTCCCAAATAGTGGGCATTTGTTGCTGGTAGAGGAACAGAGTTGTAGTAGAACTAAAAAGAGTTGATTTGGTTTCGTTGAGCTTGATCCTCCATTTCTAGAACCTTCCAAACAGAAATGGTCTTGGAGGTTTCTTAAGGTCTGGGTCAGCTAAAAGTATCGCTATAAATTTAGAGTATTTTAACGATGCCTTCGAACACGTGTGTCACTCCACTCATTGCTTATCAATTTCACATTATTTTACACTCAAGCCGTTTTCCTCCGCAAATTTTCTGTTATTGCTTGTTTCTATTAATCGAAAGTTTTATTGGTTCAATCTAGATTTGTGTGATCAGTTGTTCAGCTTAATTGTTTGTACATGGGAGAGATTCGCTTCAGACTATCCCCTAATAACCAATTAATCTTCACTGCAAACTTTCCGTCTGCACTTTATAAAAACATCAATTACATTTATCTACCTATGATATTGTAAACAATCTTACAGCCACGCAATTAATTTTTTGTTCTTTAATCGTACGAGTCACGTGCTTTATCTGTTTTCTTAACGATATTTCCCAAAACATTATTATTTTATTGGCCGATTCATCGCTGTTAACGTACAGTAACACTAGCTCAAACGAAATCGTGATCAATTAAAATAAATAATTGGATAAACAATAAAAAACATGAACTTGGTATCGATCAGTTAATATTGGTACGTCCGATCTCGCTGTAGGTCAGTAGTTAATAGTGAATGAGAAAATCGTAAACGTACAGATCCAAGGCAAAAAACGAATTATTGTTGCAAATAATTATTGCTAGGCGTGTTAGGGCTAGAATGGTTGTATGACTGCTGACTGGACACTGCATACGCCTGAGGCACATATAACTCGAAGCACCAGAAACAAGCTGTGCAGTTATTGCCCAGAGAAGGATCAGCGGAACATGTTCTCCTTGGAGAGGAAAATCAAACTTAAAAGTACGGGAGTCTTTGACGAAGTTTTGGGGTCTGATAAAAAGCCGTAAGCTTATCTCTAGATCTATAGAGAAGAGCTCTAGATAGTAATGGAGATTGCACAATAGACCAATATTGTTTGCGGTGTGTAAGATCGAAAAGATGCCGACTCTTTTTAATCTTAACCTTTAGCAGTAGGGTTGAATGGAGCTTGGTGTAGAACTTGTGGAAGCGAGGAACAGTTCATTTGCAGAAGGAATGTCGAGGTTGTTGTGGATAGTGAGGTTAATGGTGTAGTAAAGACCATCGCAGAAACTATCGGCAGAACTTATAAACCTTGTATGTGTTAAGATTAGAATGATAGTAGGACTGCTAGCTGGGTACTGCAGACACCGGAGGCATATTCATAATTCCGAGTAGCAGAAACAAGCCTGTGCAGATATTGCAAGGAAGAAGCAACAGCTCAACATGAGCAAGGCTCAGGTCAGGTTTAGGTTCCAAGATGCGAAGGCAGCATGAAAAGCCAAGACCTGACGGATACCTTGACAAAGCTTTTCTATTATGCCCAGACGCTATTTTTAGTTATTATAATTACCATTCTAAGCTGCACACCCAGACTACCACAACAAAACATATATATGCACGATGAGGACAAAAATCGATTGACTTCTTTCTATGGGATAAATATCCTTTTCTTTAAGTCATTGGGAGTATCTGATTCCAATGGGTACATCAAGATGCCAATAGATACATGGCTCTACACGAATTTGAATCAGTAAATTCCGAGTATCGCTTCTACACTTCCTTTCCATGGGTTTTGTTTGTACCCTTCACACCCGAAGCTGATATGGGTGGCTGTTTCTTCCTCGTTATTGCATAACCTACAAATGGGGTCAACGTTGAATATAGCCATGTTATGTATTTGTTTCTCAGATGCCAGTGACCAGTCGTCCTATCGTTCTTCGGCGTTTATACCTCCCTAACTTTAGCAATGAGTTTGCCAGTCTTGCTGCGGGTTGTTTTAGTATATATTTTGTGTCTGTCGCCCCTAGAGTTTATACACTTCTACTTTTGTCTTTTTTCTGTAATGGAGGGTTTTGTATTTGTTTTTGTTTTCCCAAGAATAGGTTCAGGGCCCATATAAGGTCTTGCAGATCCCCCTTTGACCAGTGTGTCCGCTTTTTCGTTACCCAAAGTTTCCTTGTGTCTTGGTACCCAAGATATCATCAGGTGTTTCCTCAGGTTTTGGAGATTTTGAATGCATTCACTGACTATTTTTGGAACGATATTTTGCATATTAATACTTTAATAGCTGCTTGGCTATCCGATGTTATGAGGTTCTTTTGCCAGTGTAACCTCTTTTATGATTGCACAAACGTTGGTGGTATGTATTTCAGCTTGAAAGACCGAGGTGTAATGTCCTAATGAGTTTGATTGGTTCAGAAGGCTAAGAAGAGACCTATTATACTTTCGGCCGGCTAAAGTCTAAATGATTCTAACTTGTTGAAATTTAAAAACACTCCGTCCCTATCACATTAGAATAGATTGTAAAAGAAAGATTAACTTCGTTTATTTTTGGATAAAGCCAATATCATTTTTAAAAAATTATTTCCCTTCTCAAGATAGTGTTGCCCAGTGTTACAACGTTATTTAACGCGCTATCTTAAGAGGGAAAGATAATTTTTTAACGTGGAAATTCAGACAACATTCCATAAAAAAAAAAATTTTGTCTAGTCGAAAGGCAATTCGAGAAACATTTTTTTAAATAATTAAGTAATCTATTTGAAGCCTGTAAT